GTGGGGGGGGGGGGGGGTGGGGGGGGTGTTTTTGTGTTTATTTCTTTGTTTTTAAGACTATGTGGACTGTGGTTGTTAACACGGCAAGTTGCTGACAGGTTTGGCTTTTGTGCTGCTTTCTGTAAGGCCTGTAACATTCCAGTTGTGCGTTATGATACGGATCGCTCGCCATTGCCAGAGTTCAGTGTTACCCATAGGCTTGTCTTGTCATTGTAGCTGTTTAAACAGATAGTATTAAATAGAAGATGATCAGCGTAAGCTCTTTGCTAAAACTTCAAGAAATTCAGCCATTACGGTAAGCATTTGGGGAAGTTTTTGAGAAATGCAAAAAAAAAGCCCTATTTAAAATTAAGTGACATGTCTTGTCTTTAAAACAAACAGGAATATGGTATACGATTTGCTAATCTTTGCTAGGTATCAGTTGCTAGCATTTCACAATTCTTCTAGCATCAATTTAAGAACACTGTCAATACAACCTTCAGGAGGAGATACTTGTTTCAGATTGTGCATTATGAAAGATAATTTAATTATAAGACTGTAGTGAATTAGTATTTTGAGAAATATTAAATTACAGCATCTAGAACATGAAAATTAGTGCATTGATGTTAGAGGAAATGGAGAGCTTTTGAAAATCTGTGCTTTTTTTTTTTTTACACTCCTCGTAAGTTTTTGGCATTTTTAACAAGCAAGTATTTTAAATTTCCATGTATTATTATCTTGTCATGTGCAGGCCTTCTAATGACCAATTCCTGTCTTCAGAGTGTTTTAGTTACTTAGCAGACGGACAGGCAAATTTATGAACTGCAAGCCCATGTAGGATGGAAGTTCTCCTAAGAGCCATTTGGTTAACTTGCCTTATTCTATTACATTGCACTCATGTTATGTCTCCACTTTCTTGTTTACTGTTCTGACACTGAAGATGCGATGTAAAAATATATGCTACAAATTTTTATTCATAAATTACTGATTGATACCTTTGTGTCACCTGTTAATACAGCTCTTGTAAATGAAACCTTTATGCCATCTGTAATACAGCTCTTGTAAATTGTTTAAATTATTTTTTTCTTTTATAGATTCCCATTATTGAATGTACAGATTGGGTCCCTTTCATATTTCACTGAGTAATTACACTGTGGTCGAAATGTGGCCAACACTGTAATTCATCTCATCAAAACTGTAGATAATAATTCTTCACTGCTTGTTTGCATGAATGAAGTTTGGATTTGATTTACTGTGTCATAAGCCAACTCCTCTGTGCTGGGCCTACTTTTACAGTTTATTTTCCTGGTTTTGTTACTGTTTGTTCTGTATGAATGTTGAAACAGTACTTTTGTCTTACTTTTCCTAATAAATAATTTGAGATTGTTCATTGTTTGTTTGTGTTTGTGAATTATTGTGGGGTTTTTTGGGTTTTTTTTTTTTTTTTTTTTCCCCCCCCCCCCCCCTTAGCACCATGAATTGCTATGATAATTCATACTGGATGTTATTGCATAATATTTGACGGTACAGAAACACGACTGGTATGGTTTTTTGCTCTTCTCTTCCCCTCCTTTAATTTAATCAAACTATGTACTTTACCGTTCTTAGATTCAGCTCCTATTTTTAAAAATGTACGTCATGAATAACTTCATACCTTTGAAGTAGAAAACATTCCACAAATGTGATTGCGGTGATTGCCATGTAAGCTTTTGGCTTTTGCCTTCCAAATTAACTTGGGAACAAATACCGATTCGTGCACACAGTTTACTCAGAAGGACATTTTCCTGTTCAGTGAAATATATTGTGTATTCATAAACTCCAGTTTATTTTCTCTTGAAGTTGTTCTGACAATTGTGGCAAACAGGAACTCTGCACCCCTCGTGTCTTTTTACTTAGGGAGAAAGAAAGTATGAGTTCCTTTACAAGTTATAGAGATGTTGATTAGTTTGGATGGCCGTTATTTTTTAATGCAGAAATATCTATTTCTTTATATGTGCTGTAGTCTTTTGCGGAAGCTATTTTGCTTGGGGTCCTTAATTCCTTAGTGGTTCAGCCTGTGTGTGAACACAGGACACAGAGGTGGTGTGAGCAGTATTTAATTTTAACTTATCCATAGACAGATAAAAAACATTTCTCTTGGTATGTTTGTCAGCCTGTTCTCCAGTTTCCATCACGAAGCCAGCAGAGGGAGCAGACAGACCACAGTTTCTGTTGAATTCTGTGCAGAAAGATGTCGGTTTTACGGAAAGTGTATTTGTTTACGAAGATGTGAGGCAGGCTTATGATAAGCGGTAGTGGGGGGGGGGGGCTGCATGCCACGGCTGCTGCCATTATCCAGACATTTCATTCATTGAATGCCATGGTACGGAAGGAAATGAAGGTGTCCCAAGAAGCAAAATAATGTGAGACTGGGTTGCACGCCAGACTGCTTTCTGCCGTTTTGTCATCTTGCTTTTAAACTGTTTGTGTGAAAACAGTAACTGATGAGGTGCCCTGGTTTCTTTATAAAATGGGAACGTATTCCATCTGTTCTGTATACTAAATATAGTGTAATAAATGCGAAGATAAATCTTTAGGTCTACCAAACAACTAGTGCTGCATGGACTAGGTTGTGGGGGAGAGGGAGTATTTATGCCATCTGTAAGTATGTAGGTGAGATAGTTTAGAAATCCTAGCTTCTTTTGTAGCCTTACAGAGCCTCAGGACAAATTGCCTTCAGGAGGCTGCGGGAGTTCTGTGGCTGGCCCAGACGCCTAATTTGGGCGCTTGAAGCTGGACACAGGAAGTGAAATGATGTGAGTATACATGTTGTTTCTTCCACAACTGCTCGCAACTTTGATGTAATATTGCTCAGCAAGATTTTAACACGCCTTGAGACAGCCACCTTTGTGGCTGATGAACGTTTTATGCTCTCAACCCTTTAGAT